CGGTGAATAATAATAAAACTGCTGAAGCTGCTAGAATACCGGTACCAAATAATCTAGAAGTAAATTTCATTTTGTATGTATTTATCTAATAGTGTATCTATATGTTTTTATGTATGAGGGTGAGATTGAGGGAATAGAGGGTGTAAGAGTGAGCGATTGATTGAGGGAAGGGAAAAGGAATGATGGGAAAGTGAAAAGGAATGATGGGAAGTGAATATGTTATATATCAACGAAAGAATTGGTGTAAAAAATAGAGAACTGAAATAACAACAACAATAATAAAGGAATATCGGTTCTTTTATACAAAAAAGTAATTAGCCTTACTTTGCGTAAATTAGATAAATCTATAAATAGATAATTAATTAATTTACTTAAAAAGAAACAATCGTCGAGTTTTAATATAACATAAATTATTGTACAATTCAATCAATGAGTGGTTGGATTTGTTTATTGTTGTTATTGTTGTTGCTGTTATTGTTATTATTATTATTATTTGTGTTGTTGTTTTTTATATGGATTTTTAAAGATATAAAGACCATTTACATCCATTCTTTTTACGTCTTATATTGCAACATTACGTGCATAGTATTAAGACAACGATAAAGGTAAAAAAGGATTGAGATAAATCGAGAAGTAATAAAATAGTAGTAATAATGAAAAATAAATTTTTTATAAATCTTAATTATGTGCTACTTGCCACTACATCAACACCAACTGTATTTTTCATTCAAAAACCAAATTAAGTTTTCATTTTTATTGTCTGCATTGTGCCACGCTAATTGCGGAAGTGAACTCGCTCGTTCAACTATCTTTCCTTCATCTCTTTTGAACAATTTAGGATCTAAATTCCATACTATGACACTATTAAAATCAAATTTCTTTGCCTCCAATTTAGCTTGATTCATCAATATACGTGTTGTTGCTGGTCCATCACTACGAAATCTCAACGCTAACAATTCCTTATCTCCGAAATCATGACACCAAATAATAAATCCCAAAATGTCTTCTCCC